CGTGAGGTCTCTCCAGGGAGTCTTCCAAGTACGCAGTGGACCTAACAGCACAAAGGCAGCCCAGGAGGAAAGAAAAAGCTCCTTCCCATCTTAGGTCTCCATTCAAGGCAGATGGCCCTCCCAGGCATGTCAGAGCTCTAGGCTCTTCTGCTCCCTTCCTCTGAGGGACCTATCTGTCCAGCTGTCAGCCTGTCACTACAGCTCTGCTCCAAAGCTGTCGTGTAGGTGTGTATTCATCAAGCACTGGTTCCTAACATTGAAAAAGGATCTTTCTAAAGAAGGAGGTTTATTCCTCTGGACGATTACAGATAAGTTCTGCGTGGTAGGGTCAGATGGTCATCTGTGTGGCTTGAACAGTGCTCCTGTTCTGTCTGTATTCAGATGTGATTATGGAGTGGTCTTGCTTTTATCTCAATCTATCCCAGTCGCAGAGTGGCCTTGTCTGAAGCTGATGGTCTATATACAATTGTTCATGTTCAACAGAACGACACCAAGGTCTAGCTGTGAGTGGGTGGCCAGGTCCTGGATGTGGGGGCTGCTTTTCTCTTTCTCAGTATTCCTAACGAGAGAGCTTGGATCAGATTTTCTGGGAAGCCTGGGATCCCACAAAGAAACAAAGGCTTACTCTCTAAAATCGCCTGTAGTCCAGACAGACAAGGTTTGAATCACAGATACCGGTCCTCCTGTGGCTTATTATATGTGACATCAGTTGCTGCCTCCATGAAATGGGCATTTCTGATGGCAGAATTAGGTTGTTGGGGGGAGGGTGTAACCACCGACAGAGGTTCCAACAATGTTGGTGAAATTTAATCACTCTGTAAAAACCAGTGTTTTAAAAGTTAAATCCCTCAATCTTAAAACCAACATGGACTATTAAATGGCAGCAAGAAAGACTGTTTGGTTTTTCTTATGAATAGCAGCTTTTCTTCTTTGTGCTTTTTTAAATGTCCTTTTTATAACCCCAATGGAAGGGAATTTGTCATCTAACAAAAATGAATATGTGTTTCTCTTTTGTCCCAGCAATCCCGCTTCTGGCAATTTGCCCTAAAGATAAACTTCCAACAATGTGAAAATACATATGCACAAGTTTATTCATTGTAGCTTGGCTGATAATTGGGGGGTGGGGTGGGGGGAAGGCAACAATGTCAGTTCCTAGGCGTAGGCAGTGGTTGAATAAACTGTGATACATTCACACAATGGAATCCTACACAGCAATGGAAGAAAACTATGAAGTGATGAGGACTGGTTTCCAGGACATACAGTTAAGTGAAAAAAAAAAAAAGCAAAATGCACAATAGTATCTATAGTATACAAACCTTGATGTAGAAACCAAGATGATATAAGTGCCCTGGCCAGTGTTGATCAGTGGTTAGAACATTAGCCTGTGCACCAAAGGGTCACAGGTTAGATTCCTAGTCAAGGGCACTTACTTGGGTTGCAGGTTCGATCCCTGGTCCCAGTCAGGGTAGTTCAGGAGGCAACCAGTTGATATGTCTCACATTGATGTTTCTCTCTTCCCCCTTCCTTCCAGTCCCTCTAAAAAAATCAATGGAAAAAATATCCTCGGTGAGGATTAACAAGAAAACACGTATATTTGCTTATCTTTACAAAAAGAAACAAAGGAAGGATAAACCAGCAACTATTGAGACTGGTTGCCTAGAGGCACTGGGTGGGAGCAGCAGACTAGAAGGAACGGACAAAGTGATACTTCTGTGTTTACTTATCGGAAGAGTTCTGACTTTTGAAACCATGTTCATGTTTCACATACTAAAAAAATAAATAAAAATAACAAGGATGGGGGGGAATCTTAAAACAGAATAAATCAGAAACAAAAGAACCTTAATTGCATTTTAAAATATATTTTTTATTGATTTTTTACAGAAAGGAAGGGAGAGGGAGAGAGAGTTAGAAACATCGATGAGAGAGAAACATCAATCAGCTGTCTCCTGCACACACCCTACTGGGGATGTGCCTGCAACCAAGGTACATGCCCTTGACCGGAATCGAACCTGGGACCCTTCAGTCCGCACACTGACGCTCTATCCACTGAGCCAAACCAGTCCGGGCCTTAATTGCATTTTAAACACAGCCTCACTCAAAGGGAATGGGAAGAACTAACCCAAGTAACTTTTGAACATGGTATTTATCAAGTTAAAGACAAAAAGCACTGTAACAAATATTGACCTCTAGTTAGTAGATTTGTCTTCTATAGTTGTGTGGGTAGTGAATCTGAAACTATTTTTTAAAAATATATTTTTATTTATTTCAGAGAGGAGGGGAGAGGGAGAAAGAGAGATAGAAACCTCAATGAGATAGAAACATCAATGATGAGAATCATTGATCGGCTGCCTCCTGCATACCCCCTACTAGGGATTGAGCCCACAACCTGGGCCTGTGTCCGGGACTCTTCAGTCTGCAGGCCGACGTTCTATTCACTGAGCCAAACCAGCTAGGGCATGAATCTGAAACTATTGAACGTGTATCCTAGGATTGAGCAAATAAGTAAAACTCTTGTGGATAATGAGAATTAGGTTTCTCACTGTTGGAGGATGGAGTTACAAATACGGAAAAGGGAAAAGCTATGATCAACACCCTAGTATGGGATTGGTATTATAGATATCAATAGGAATTCATGGATTTTCATATAACGTAGATATATAAGACAGATGTGTGGATTATTTACATACATATGTACATACGGTTTCACTACATATGGCACATATATAGGAGATTACACATATTTCCTAACTCTGTCCACTGAGCGAGCCTAGAATCAGCCACACTACAGAAGCAGTAAGTACTTCTAGTGCCCAGATCTTGGTTTCCTGGATGCCGTTCTTCACTAAAAGGAAACAGTGCTTCTTGGGGGAGATGGCTGACTCCAGGACCAGAACTGGGAAAGTACAAGATGAGCCTGAAACACCCTGATGTAATCTGCTCAAAAAATGATGGAGATTTGCCAAAAGGACACAGGAGCCAACTGGAGGGGACTCCCACTGGCCACATCTAGAACAATTTGAGCATTGTACAACTCCCTCACGTGAAGTTTATGGTATGTTAATTATACTTCAATTAAACTACTTTTATTTTTTTAATATATTTTTATTGATTTCAGAGAGGAATGGAGAGGGAGAGAGAGAAGCATCAATGATGAGAGAGAATCATTGATAGGCTACCTCCTGATCGAGCCCACAACCCAGGCATGTGCCCTGATGAGGAATCAAACCATGACCTCCTGGTTCGTAAGTCAACGGTCAACCACCGAGCCACACCGGCAAGGCTAAGCTATTTTATTAATAAATAAAGTAAATGACTTTCACCTGTAAATTAAAAGAAGAATTCATGAGTCTCATACTGACACAAAAAAACAAATGTATAAATAAATACGTGGGGAAGAAAGGAAAGCTCTTCCGTACAGTAAAAGGCCAGCTGTACATGTAAAAGAAAATCATCATTTGACCACCATAATCATAGTAATTGCTTCAGGCAAGAATCACCAAGGATGCTAAACTAGTGAGTGGAAGTTTGAAGAAAAACAGGAGAGTTACATAGTCTCAAAGTATGTCCCTGCAAGACATTTATTCATTACAAAGAGAAATAGTACATTGACAGTGGAGAAACCTGGAAGATGCCACCTTAAATCAGCAAAGCTAATAACCATTTGGGAACTAACCAATACCTTGTGCCTCCGGATACACTTGAAGAAAAACACAGGTCACTTCTTTGGAATTCCTGCCAAAAATGCAGAATCCAAATCTAACCCTGAGGAAATATCAGATAACCCAAAATTGAAGGACATTCTTCCAAATAATTGGCCTGTGACTTTTTGAAAAACATCGAGATCATGAAAGTTAAGGGAAGAGTGTGGCATTGTTCAGACTGAGGGAGGCTGAGAAGACCTGATAACAGAATGCAGCACATGACCCAGGATTTCCTTTTCCTATAGAGGGACGTTACTGGCTCACCCACTAGGATGGCTAGAATGAAAAAGTCAGATAACAAGTGTTGATGAGGATGTGGAGATATTGGAACCCTCATACACTGCTGGTAGGAATGTAAGAAAATGTCCTTGTTAGGAAATTCATACTTAACTATTTCGCTGAAAGGCCATCGTGTCTACAACTACGATCAAACAGTTTAGAAAAATATATAGATAAAGATATAGATAAATAGATAGATAGAATGTGATTATTATGAGGCTTGGCAATTTTTGCCAATCTAATAAATGAAAAATGTGATCTCATTGTATTAATTTGCATCTCTTTAATTATGGGGAGACCATTTAAAATGCTCCAGAAACCATAATACAGAATGACCACAAAGGCTATACAATTTGAAAAATACTGAGTGTCACTCTCTACTAAGCTCCAGTGGTAAAAGTATGAAACATCACACCTAGTAGATGTGAACTGTATCTAGTTGTTGTTTTAATTTCGCATTTCCCTGATAACGAAAAACAATGGGTTATCTTTTCAGAGGTTATACATATTGGCCATTTCAGCGGACTTCTGCTGTGAATTACCTATTCATATTCATTGTCCATTTTCCAGTGTAGTGTTTGTGCCTCTTCTGACTGATTTGTAGATGTCCTTTATACATCCCAGAATCTAGATACTAGTTCTTTATCACACACATCAAAAGACTAGAATGAAACAATCAAGTCTGTGAAGCTCAGCGAGGCATATAGTAAGGATCTTTCCGTTTTAAATACCAGGACTTGCAATTAAAGGAAATATTTCTGGCATGTGCTATGGGTCATTGTTGACTCTACTTGAGTATGTCTGAAAATAGAAAAAAAATAAGAATGAAGTCTAATTTATAAAATTTATGGCCTGCACTCTGCTGTTAAGAAAAGGAATTAGCAAAAAGAACAGAAGGAAGAGCAGGAGGAGGAGGAGGATTAGCATTTGTGAATCTGGTCTATGTAATTTATTCATAATTGCTGGATTCAACTTTTTTGTTTGTAATACATGAATATTAATTTATGAGTTAAAACTCCATTTAACTTCACGTTAACATTTATTTTAAAGAGGGGAGACACACGTTGCTCTTCAACTGCCACCGGTATTTCCAAGCAAAGAACTGCTAATCCCATTCTTTTGTTTAAGAGAAAGGGACACCAAAGCCCGGTGAGTGGGCATGACTCGCCCAGCTCCTTACAGGCAAGTACTAATCTGATTAGAGCCTGTTTTCCTTAGCTCCTCAGGTGACGGCGGGGGTCCAGCTTCATCTGGGCTCCCTTCTCCCTGCCACATCACAGCTAAGCACGCAGTACTTGCGTGGCAAATGTTCCTTTGGAAAAATAGGCCCTTCATCAGCCTAGGGACAGAGTCGGGTGCCCCAGACACCGCACGGTAGGGGAGGCAGACAGCAGGTGTCGCGTAAATCCTGTGTTGGTGCAGACAGAGCCCAGGAGGAAGCATTGTTGGGGACGCTGTAAAAGCTTCATAAAGGCTCCGGATCGATCGGGTGCTCCGAACTCGCCTCCTGGTTCACGCGCTCCTTGCTGGGGTCACCCTCCGCGCCAGGTGAATAACTACGGGCTGGGAAATGAAGCAAGCAAATCAGTTCTCAACGACCAGCCAAGTGCCCACAAGGAGTCCCTAGGGGCAGCACAGGCGCCTAATTGGTGTTCCTCGGTGACACAGTCAATACTTGGAAATGTTTCTGGCCCGTCTCTGGGGGTGGAGAGGATTGAACATTCCTTTAGTTCCCTCAAAGGATGGGGTAGGACAGACCTCGGTTAATTTCCCCACGTGTGAACCGAGGCAGCACAGTGCGAGAGAACGTGCGTGGGCGAACAGTCAAGGTGAGGGGCTTTCCCTCCTCCCTCCCCCGTCTTTCCCATCTCGGCTTCCAAGGATTGGGAATCTGACGATGGAGGAGTTTGTTCTTGGCCGGCCAGACACCTGCGGACGAGAATGATCAGGGGCTGCAACACTCAGGGCCCGAAAGGTGTGGGCGCAAAGGTCCCGCAGCACCCCGCTCCTCTCAACCTCCCGCTCCTCCTTCCCTCCACCCTCCCGCCTCCCACCTCCTCTGCCGGCCCCGCCCCG